TCTACCTCTCTCTCTCTCTCTCTCTCTCTCTCTCTCAGGTCCAAAATATCCCTGAATTGGCCCCTCTCTCTCTCTAAGGTCCAAAAAATCCGTGAATTGGGCTGTCTGGATGGCTGATTTCAGATCTAAATCATGGGGAGAGAGGAGAGTGGAGAGCTTTGATGCCTATAGAAGCACACGGCCCCCTGGTTTCACAGACCTCAGATGTTACAGTCTTTCCTATGCCCAACAGCAACAACCCCATGACCTGTACAATTACAATTTCAAGAAAGGGGGCAACAAGACTTCTAGTTCAAACCCAACTTCTAACAAGTGGGGTTTGAGCAGTTGCTTGAATGATCCAGAGTTGCAGAGGAGGAAGAGGATTGCAAGCTATAAGATGTATGGAGTTGAGGGCAGGATGAAAGGGTCAATAAAGAGGAGCTTCAGATGGCTTAAAGACAGGTGTACCAATATAGTTCATGGATGGTAGTGATTTTTGTTTTTCTTGTTGTTTCTTTGTTTTGAGTGGTTGGGTTTGTTATTGGCAGTTTGGAATGAATTTACTGATTGACTCTGGGTTTCATGCCAGGCTTCTTTCTGTCTCTAGTCTCTGTAATAACTTGGGGTTTGTAAATTGCACTTTGGTTCAAGGTTATACTTTCTCTCTCTTTCTCTTTCTCACGGTTAATTACTCCTGTAAACTTATGCTCTCTCTCTTAATTACTCTGGTTGTAAGTGTCTCTCTCTTAATTATTCCTGCAATCTAATGATCTCTCTCTCTCTCTCTCGTAATTCCTCTTGTTGTGAGGTTTCTCTCTCCTGTAAGCTTATGCTCTCCCTCTTAATTAGTTTTCGTGTAAGGTTGTGTTCTCTGTCTTTCTGTTCATGCTTATCTTGCTTTTCTCTCTCTATTATATTGTTTTCTACTTATGTGTGGGGAGCTTGTGCAAGATTTGGGCCTCCTGGTTTTGCTCATCTCTATTTATATATTTTTTAGAGATTGATATTTCAACTGAATTTTCATTGTGGTTTTTTCATTTTCCTATTTTTGGGATGGATTATTTCTATTCTTTGGACTTTCGATTTTCTTGAATTTGCTCCTTTTTATTTACACTTTTTTTAGAGATTGATATTTCAACTGAAATTTGATTGTGGTTTTTTCAATTTCCTCTTTCTGGGATGGATAATTTCTACTCTTTGCCCTTCAATTTTCTTTCATTAAGTGGTCTAATTTGCAACATTTATACTCCTATCCTTAATTTATGGCCCTTACATTTACTTATGTTCCTACTGCTACCATTTCGTCTTCTTTTTTTGGATAAGACAATTTCATTTTCTTGTAATACAGTTACTGCACTATCTTGTATCTAGACTCTTAAATCAATATATCAACTATACTTTTTTCTTTTCTTTTTAAGTCAATCAATTTTGGGCTATTTTACCATATGATTTAGCTAAATATGTTTATGGTTTGGGTCATAACACTTCATTTTTTACATTTTTCAAAAATGTGGATGTAGTTTGTTGGCAAAATTGATTTATTATTGCCAACAAACTACATCC